CACCTCAAATGAGGAGGTCAAAAACCTCCTCGATCAGTTTTTTGCCAGCAAAGACCAAAAATTTTATGAGCGTGGAATTATTCTACTACCAGAAAGATGGCAAAAGGTGTTGGACCAGAACGGTCAATATATAAATAATTTAATAAAGTATTTGTTTATTATACGAAAACTGTCTTTCATTTCCACAAAAAAAAAACGAAATGACTTTCCGAACAACCCTATAATTACCACATACATTGTGACAATTGGTAGCAATGATGCATGTTTTTGAAGTTACTGTTTCTTTGCAGCACAGAAAGATTGTGTAATAGCTAATATTATTGAGAGTAAACTCGTGAAAAGAGCGAAGCTAACAAAATTTGTAGGAACTACTTGTCCTATTCTATTTACACATTTTCTTTTATTTATTTTACAAACAATTTTTGTTATAGTTTTGGGTAATTTTTTTTATGTACAGCATCGATCCTCTCGTTATGCACGTATGTGAAACCATAGAGCGATTTCGTGAACGTGGCGAAAATGCGTAAAAAGAAGTTAGCATTCCATAAAAAGTATCACTAATGCACACTATTTTATTAAGAATAGACGATACCTTACAATATTTTTGTTGTTTGAGTAATCATTGTGAAACTTACCTGATCTCCCCATTTCCAATCGACTCCTCTGACAACCTTCACTCCTAGTTTCATCATAGATGCCAGCTCTGGTCCTGAGAGTGACGTTTTCTTGGGCTTATTCAATTCTAGGCTGTTTGCATATAATACATAGCATTCCATATTCTTTTTTACTGCACTTTGTTCGCAACCTATTTGACGAAGCAACGACAATACTGAACTAATAACTCCACTATTCACAATCTGATTCAATTCTACAGCAGTATATCGATTCGCTGCTAAAATTCCCATAATAGCCAATAACATTCTTGCTTTGGGTGTATCTCTTAAGAACGAGTAAGTCCCTAAATTTAAATTTCCTTTGACGGTACATAATCTAGATTTTCCAATTTTCGCGGGAATATCTTTCATGATTAAAAATCTTAAATTGTTTATACACCAGTCGACAACATACATTTCTGCAAGCAGAATGTCGGTTTTCAACGCAGGAGTTACTAAATGTATATTGTCCAAACAATGAGAAACGTTCTCGTTAGTATTTTTAAATGTGACGCCAATATAACCGTTCAATATTGCATAATGACTAGATTTTAGAAGATACGTTTTTTCGAGCAAATATTTAACTAATAGTAATCCCTCTTTGCGAAATTTACATCGTTTCACTTGACTGTACATTGCTTTTCGCAAAACGTCAATATCACAGACATGATCTTTCGTTAAAAAATCAACAATATTATACATAAGATTAGCCTTCTCCAAAAAAGTCTTCTGTACCCTCTTTTCCATTATTTTACTTAAAATATTACTAAGTAATATTTCAGATTCTATCCGTTTATATTTTTCTTCTTGAAGTACCTGATTACAAACGGCAGAATCTCTTTTTTCGGAAGAGTGAAGTTTTTCTTCCAGTTCAGTTTTAAGGTCTGTACGATTTTTTATTGATTTCTGGTCACAACATTTACTGGCATTATAATGAATGGCGTCAGAGTGTATCCTATTCTCAATGACACCGCTGTTTTTGATTTCATTATTGAAATCATCTGCTTCAGTTTTAGTTTCGCTATTTCTAATATCGGAAGTAGAACTTTTATTTATCTTTTGTATATCTTCAGTACATTTTTGACTTTGTGATTGAATAGTTGCATTAACAATATCTTCAGGCTTGTAAATGTCGAACTTTAATTTTCCACATTTCAATTCCCTTATGACTTTTCTTATTAATGTCTTTACCCGTGGTTCTTTGTGCAGTACGTTTATTTTATTATAAGCATCCATTTCAATGCTCACTGCCGGTTTGACTTCATACAGAAGAAAACGGCACCTTTCCAACACTGGAATGCATACTTCTTTATAACTACGATTTAATTCTTGGCGTACTTTAATTAGTTTCCATTTAGTGTCGTGGACAACCTTTATCATATCCGCAATGGGCTTCGAAATCTTGAAATCTGCTTGAGTCAAATCTTAAAAAATACAAATTTTTTAAATTCATATACATAAACGTTGTATATTATAAAAATGGAAATTAATGGAAAACAACTTTAGTCTGGACAAGAGAGAATGTTATAGGCATTTGTGAAGTCAAAAAACCTAAACACAGTGTTAATTCTACTTAAAGCTACATTTTATGTAAAGAAAAAGTACGCCATATTTAGCCAATAAGCGCAGCTAGTAAAAGAAAAATTGTAAATGTAAAAGTTAGTTTAATAAATGCGATAGAAATAAGAGAAAACATGTCGAGAGACGTTCCGCACTCAGACTCTTCCCATATTTTTTTTAGAGGCAATCATTAAGAATTAGACTCGTAAAATAGATCTCTTTAACTTGTAAAGAACTTATACTATGTTTCATTTTTTATGAGCATCTAATAAATAATTTAGGTCAATATATGTAACAATACTCGCGAATTAAATTGACGTATTCACTCTTAAAACGTTTGCACTGGTATAATGTATTGTTATGGACTAAAGCCGCAGGCGATCGATAGCGACGGCGCATTGATGTGTCCGAATTAGAACATTCGCTCCGTTTGACTAAGAATAGTGATTTATAACAATAACTAACTTAAAATAAAAGCTAAAACAATTGTCATTACTAATGCTTTAATTATTCTATTGTATAGAATTTAAAGCATTAAAATAGCAAACATGTAGGGGTAAAAAGATGTTATTTACTTACAGGAATCCAAAATCGGTAACAAAACATAACCGAGTCCCAAATGTTTCAGAAGGACTGCACATAACACTCTACCAATTTCTTCAACAGGGTGTTCAAATGAAAAATCCACTCTGCTTAAGAAATTATTTTGCTTGCAGTATTGTTCAACAATAGCCAGAAAAGCAATGACGTACGAGTCCTACATAAAATAAAAAAAAACACAAATAACGACTATAACTTATAATCTTCTATATGCTTAAATAAAACGATAACTTGATCCAGTGATGAGCACATACAACAACCAAACACTAGACAGATTTTGATCAAATTTACGATCGAATTTTTTTAGTTGTGTTCTTAGACCTTTGACCTTTATCTCCAATAAAAATTAGCACGATAACAAGAATTTTTGTAGGGTTTTCAATACATTAAAGCGAATTAATTTTTGAATTTATTAAATTAATTAAGAGTGTGTCAACAGCAACAATTTTTCCTCATTAATTTAAGGTATTCTGTAGTGGTCAAAATTAATTCAAAAACTAATTCACTTTAATATATTATCACAATGCTCCTATTTAACATTAGACATGTCTTCTTGCCACTGAAAAAAAAGGGGCACGCGGTGCGTATGCATAAGAGCGATGAAGTTCCTACTTCTGCCTCATCACAAAGTAAACAGATACCGCACATCATTTATCGGCGGGCGAAGTCACGAGAATCAGCTAGTTTCAAATCATACAGTATTCATGTATTTGAAATTTATAAAATTGACAATTAAATCAAGTTAATATCATTTAACACATCATAAAAAGCATATTAAAAAAAAGACTGAGTAAACTGTTTTATGCGTATTAACGTCTGTGTAGAATGAACCTTATTTTACTTAGCATTACTACAAACCGGTCAACGAAAGAACAAAACCGAGTATATCACCTAAGAGGGCCGTCAACACACATCGACCTGCATTTATCTCATAAGTCGGAACTATAGCCACCATATGTATATTAACAGTTTTATCTATTTTTTTATACAAATTGTGTCTGCAAATGTAAGTAAAATAAGGATTATAAGATATTATGATTACAAAGTAACATAGTTTATATTTAGTAGTACATAAAGCAAATTTTCGTATACGGTGAAATAACAATAAGTTTAATACTAATCTACAGTCAAAGCTCAAATCCTTTTTATTGACAACGATGAAAAAAAATTCTTACGGAGTTACGCACCTTTTATTTACGTTAAATTAAGCTAAGAGTGCGCTACTTCATTAGCTTGTGTCATCCAGAACTTAAATAATGGTATAAAAGGTTTCCCTGATTGATAAGTGCGAAATTAGTTGCTTAGTAATTGAAACAATATTAAGGCAATAAGAATAAGGTATAATTTTATTATTCACTAAAGGCAACTCCTAATAACTTACTGCCCTTATTGCTCTGATTATTTTATTAGTACACGTTTTTGAGGAAGATAATAATAGTGCATTAGTTACTTAGTTTAGTTCAAACTTAAAAAAAGATTATTAAGTACAATGTCTACAATTAAATATTAAATTTTTAAGTACTTACCGAAATTCGACTTTCGGCCAATGCATAAATGAAGGAGCTGACTTTATCAAATGCAACTTGCCAAGAACGAACTGGTTTTTGTGATTCATTTATTCTAGGCTCTGTTGGAGTATTACCAGCGGTAGAATTTGTGCTTCGCGCTTCTCCTTTCTCTTCTTCGTAAGGATTAGGAGGCTGAGATAGCTACAAACCAAAATTTGGGCTTTGTATTTACTAATAACGTTTTAAATAATAATTATTCTAGATTTTCATATTAAGTAAATTGATAATTTCAATCTTATTAAGATTAATAAGCAAACGTAAGGTAGCACGGTCAGCATCATTGGTGCAGTTAATAATATTTGTTTATATGTAGCACCTTGCCGCTCGGTTTGTACGTATACAGAAGGGGTAATTTCGTATATACTACGAAAAAATGTAAGCAGATGTTGAATAGGGGGAATAAATGTTGCCTACAATTAAGTTTTGATAACGATTTACTGGTACAAATAAATACTAACCTGCAATCCACCAACTAAGAATTCTGCCTTAAGCCAGGCTTCTGCTTCAATTTCAACGGGTTGCAAGGGATAACTCTGTCTTAAGGAATGTGCATGAAGTCCTAATAAAAAGCCTAAACATCTATGCGTCTCCGTTAATGTTTTTGACAGCGTCACGTATTCCATTAGAGACGCAGGAATTTCAGTGTCATTTTGACAGTACATACCGACGACGAATGATTCCATTTCTTGCAACGTGGTCAAGTTATGAGGAGAATTGAATATTTGAGTAGCATCCTTTCCCGCATACCTTTGCAATAATTCTGGTAGCATAGAATTCTCACTTCTGTTAATATAAAAGGAAACTTTATAAAAAACAAGACAATATTAATTTTAATTGTACAAATTTGGATGTTATTCACCGAACATTCGTTTTTTACATTTTCGAAATTCGGTTACATTTTGGTTTTTTCTAAAATAGAAAAAAAAATCTATGGATGTATTTTCACACCTTTTTCTATTCCATACATTTTTCTTTTTGATATATTTTTCTTCATTGACAGGATTATCATCATTTCACTGTAAGCAAGGGCTCTAAAGGTTGGGACGCGGCCGGCGCAAATGGGATCAATTCAATAAAAATAGCAAAAAATGTGCTATTAATTGATTTACTAAACATAAAACCCCCCGTCATTGGTTTACCAAAACTCTGTAGTTACCGAGTGGTCCTTATGAATCATCCAAATTAGTTCAATTTGTACATCAACAGACACACCAGAACTTGCCTATAATCTTTAACGTCATAAACTCTATTATTAATGACCACCCATAATCCCCCATCCAAATTATGGTTCTCTAAATCGGCCTTTCTGATAAGAGTTAAATCATCATGAGATTTGCAAAACGAATATGTAGTGTTAAATTGCTGCATGCCAGGCCATGACATGTCATCAGAATCTATAGCTTCTATATTCGGGGTTAAATGGCAGAACTTATCAAGGGTTGTAAAAAGAGCGTCGAATACATATAACCAATCCATAGATAATAAGAAATGTTGAACTTCTTGCTGAAGAAGAAGAAGACTGACCATGAGTTCAGGTAGCAGTACATCTGAAATTATAATAAAAGTTTAATTTTTCTATTTGTAACACACACCCAACTTTAAAAATGCCTTTAGAAAAAGAAATTGGTTACAAAGTGGCATTCACAGCATAATAACATCTTAAATATAACCTACTGGTCACCTTTGTGCTCTTTCAACATTCATACTTATTTAGAAATCAACGTTATTATTGTTATGAACGAATGCTGTAGGCATGCAAGAACAAATGTAATGTAAAACATTTAATTTACGTACCCACAATATCTCCCTTCAATATTTGCAAGACATACATATAATTTCTGGAACTTGAGACGGCTATTTCAAAGGCAAGTTGAAGAGTTTCTGTAGCATACACACTAACGTGATACAAGTATTTCTTCAACAAAGACTCCGCCGCTTCTCTGCAATCCAAATCCTGCGTGTAAATCTTAGCTATCAACAATCTTTGAAATCTAAGCAACAGACTGAGATCTGGAACTTCCATTTTTTGGGCAAGGACTTTGTTATATATTTTGTACTCCTGCAAACGAGATTGGCTGTAAGAGCTTCCATTCCTAAAACAAAAGTCTCAATAAATATCTTAAAATAACGAATCATAATAAACTAAAGGTGAACTAGAAAATGCAATGTAAAAAGTACATATGAAGCACAAATCTACAAACATATTATGCATCCCAGGAGAATAAACTAGTAATATCCCTAACTCGATTTAGCAGTGATTGGTAGCACACAGCAGAGATAGTACCAACCTTTTTCAATGCGACGTTTGTCAAATTGTACGCTATCTATTTAAGTTAGATTCTTTATCGTTAATTTTAAATTTTATTGTTTTTTTCCAGGATGGCGGTCAATTAATTAAACAAATTATTTGTTTTCTTTTGCATTTTTACGTATTTAAACCATCTTCAAACTGAATTTTTTTATTAACTTATAGTTCTATCAGGTTACCATACATTTGTTAGTAAAATATAATTGATAGAGAACATACCTTTTTAAAGTATTACTGCTTGAACGCAGATTTTTTTTAGATTTTTCTTTCTCGTTGAAATACTGTATACTGATTCTGAATGTTTAGGTAGTTTTATTTTACGGTAACAATCCATTTGGTTTATGATTTCTCTTACTAAGTTTTACGAGCAGATTGTTAATATACTTGTCCTTTTTGAAAACCTGCCCGTAAAACTTCAAGTAATTAATTTGTTTCCTTAACAACTCTATTTATTTATTTATCAATACGTTTTTTACACAGGCCGCAAATAGAGGCAAAGATGCCCAGCCACGTGGAGAGCAGAGGTAAAAAAACAACAGCTGAGCACAGCATACGCCGCCGGGACTCTAGCAGACTAGCGGCTGCGCATTATATCCATCTAATCCAGCCGTTGCCCTCTATCCGCCACCGCCAGCCTTTCTCTCCCTCCGCCGCTGCCGCCTCTCGCCACGCGATATACCGTCTACGTCTCCACGCAGCCGTAACGCTTAACAAAAAAATCGTAATACCCCCCTGTCTATATAGAAGTTTCACTTCAAAAAAATTCAGTCTAACAAAAACCAAACAATTTTTTTAATTAATTGACCTCAACCCTGGAAAAAACAATAAAATCCTCTTCTATGTCTGTCTTTATTTTAAAGAATAGTGTACATGAAGTTCGTTGATAAGTCCATACCCGTTTATTTTTTTGTGGTATAAAGACAAATACCATTTACTGACTCGTCAAGGAATTTTCAAAACTAACAAATTTGAAATTTACTTCTATGCGCTTGTTAACCGCACGGCCATGCAAGAATTTCAAACTAAGGCACGAAAATTTGCATTCAAACATCAGATAGAAGTTAGAAAAAAAAGCATTTCAATATTTATGGAAAAACAGTCCAGAAATGAAAGAATAATTTATATTAATGCAAGCTTAGAATGTAAAAGTATTAAAATATTAACAAACCTTTCTGCTATACTTTTTGAAGTGTTTCAAAATAAAAAAAATTGATTTCTTAAAGATAAACAAAAAATTAAATATATTAGCTTACATCCCTCTATAGGTTCATAAACTGTTTACTTAAAACGATTCGAAGGGCGATATATTTCAAAGCTAAGGTAAAAACACACGTTTACAAAAAAGTCGTACTCACAGTGACGTTATAGAACATAAACAATTTACTTACTTTATAAGTTGTTTGATGAGATGCAACAGAGGAATAGAAGTCTGGGTGGTGAGGGTTTCGAAAGTTTCCTCGACTTCCGCTAATTCGACAATTTCAGAACGAAGTGCTTCGCATAAAGCAGCTTCTAAACCACCATCTACCATTAAACTCCACACCAATAAATTAGACATGAAACGATGGCCAGAGCTCAAAGCGTTGGTTTCTACACCTTAACAATTTGGAATATTCTTAATAAAATAAAACTTTAAGCATACAACTAAATCGTTTATCCATTTTGAAAAAACGAAGTTATAATAGTATTACACTTATACACTAGTGAAGAACATATTTAACCGATCACGTAAAATGTTAGGAATAATCCCTTCCACAAGGTGCAGTACCAAAGTATCACGTATCGCAATGTTAAACCAAACTGAAAGTTTTAAGAAGTTATTAACCTCTTATTTTTATTAGAATTATTATTTATTTTGTTTACGAAATTTCTTTATATTGTTTACTAGACAATTGCAGTTCAATTTCGCCTCAGACGGCAAAAACGTGCACGATCTGATTGCATAGGCGCCATGTATCGCATAAGTTTGATCAGTCTAAGGAAGCACAAGTCCCGCCTCTCGTACATCATAATTGTCACTAGCCTACCAATATTCCATGCATTTAAAATGCATGAAACAGAATCTCCATATGGTCGGTTAAACTTATTCCTGTAGCGTATAAAGAAATCATTCAAAAATGAACACCCTTACCTGGACTGGGCAAAAAGGAACTCAAGGTTTGTGCTCTTTCGTTAGCTGTAGGCAATAAGACGCTCCAGCCAGCTTGAAGTGTTGATTGTGCAATCTAAAATTTTTTGAAAAAAATTAGAATGTATGGTAGTCAATAATAAAACAAATATACTAAGGGAGTTTCCTTTTTATCCTTTCTACTATACATTGGAAGGAATTCAAGCCAAAAAAGGGTTGTAAAGTTTTTCTTGATGTTAGACCTTCATCTTCGTTTGTGTGGCTTCTTCAAGATTGATTTTAAAGTTGGAAATAATTGTAAAGTCTACCTCGAAACTTTACAACCCTGATTTGGATTAAATTCCTTGCAAATAAACTAATTAATTAGATAAATTAATTTAAACAAAGTAATTATCGATATCAGATGAATAGATAAAAACACTTTGTTTTGAAACTACATATGGCGTGCTAATGAGAACAAACAAAACTAAAGTCGCGAACCATCAATATTAGGACTTTTCCATTACTAAAATCCATCAGAGGCATACACAGATACAGTACAGATACAGTAACCCAGACCAGTTATACTATTTAAATAAACCGTCATTGGAAGAAGTTTCTTATTGGTTTTCTTGTATCATTGTGGCAAATTTTGGTGCAGTAATTCTCCACAGATAAACATTTCTTTCATTTCCCCTATCTCTCATCAACGTCCACCCACTCATTTCCGGAATTCCTTAAAGAAGGCTACCCTACCCACCAGCTTTGCACTAGAGTATAACTCGGAGGGACTGCTCGACCACCGGCATTAATAGCTGTGATAGAAATAAAACAAGCAAAATTTTTCCCGCGTCAGTATGTAATACATATATATGTGTTTTTGATAACGGCATAATAGTCGATGCACAACTAAGAGTTTTTAAAAATAAATTTGTAAAAGCTTGCTGTTTTTATCTAATAGTTGAAACCATATTTTTTTAAATATATTTCACCCAATTATACATAATTTATTATTAAACTGCAACATAAATATTTAAAACGATAGCTCACCGTCTGTACAGTTAATGTTATCCCAGGTGTACTAGCAAGATATACGACTTTGGATTTTATGTTATTCAATAGTTTACTACCAGATCCAAAATTGAATGTATTAGCATCAACGTTATTGCTAATGATACAATGTAACTGAAAAAAATACAAATGTAATGCTGCACCACATTATTATTAACATCAAGCCTACTTGTAAACTGAGAATTTTCAAACAGGACACTGCAATTATTTCTTTCTCCTGTTCAATGGGAGCACCTGGCATTGAACGACACCTTTCGCAAATAACTGCTAACAGTTGATCCAAAAATCTAAAGTTAAAGTGTAATTTAGAGCTCTTTAAACACATCATGTGATCCAGCAAATTTGAATAACTTAAAAGTTAGTGGACTCTTATTTAGTCATAACGACAATACAATTATTTATTATATTTCCAACTATTGCCACTTAATGAAACTATGAAAAATAATTACACGCGATAGTGGTAACATCATGGCATAATTCTAGATAAACTTTAACATACAAACAAAATTAGTGGCATATGCGGTAATACAATCAAACAGCTCTGTCACTTTCTCTCTCGTATTGTTAACTAAATACTTATTCGGTTACAAGGTCTGCCTCTCGCGCATGTCACAGATCAAAAAAACGTATTCTAATTCTAATTTATCATTTTTATAGAGCTCTAATTAGGATTTATAATTAGGGTTGTAGGCATTACATCTACACTGTTTATTGGCTAACTTTAACAGCATCTGACTTACTTAAATGTATTTTCGTTTAAATCAATGACGAATGGTAATTTAAGTGGTGGAATCCAGCAACTGTAATCTGTCCAAGCAAAACTTTGGGATGGTCCACAACATACTCCGAATATTCTCTGGCCATGTAAATTTTCAATAAGAATCGGCTCTTGGATATAAAGCCCATTGTCACAAATTTGCTTAAAATCATTTTTCCCCCAACCATAAACTTCTCCTTTATCAGTCAATGCCAAAGCATGTCCTATTCCAAGACTAATGCATCTAACACGTTTATCTAAGAAAAGAACAAAATTACATAATTTCCTACGATCAAATTTTTATGCACTTCAACATACCTTTCAATTTTTCTACTAATTGAGGAAATCGAACATGTTCATCAGTTGAATGTCCTAAACGCCATCCTTCGCCTTTTCCCCAACTATAAACTTGACCTTCCTTACTAACCGCCAAACTAAATTGTGTGCCGCAATAAACTTGTGTTATTTCAACATTTTGTAATTCTTCAATCAATTTAGGAATTTTCGATCCATCAGAACCGCCACGGCCTATATAACAACATGTAAAGTTAGACAAATACAACAAAGCAGCATAAACGACACAAAAGCAATATATCTATGAATTGTCATATATTAATGCAGATTTAAAGGCACTTGTAAACAAGAATGCGAGTAAAATGAAACTAAAAGATCTGTATAACAACTAATACATTAGAATGACTTAACGTAATTAAAGCGACTATAACCCGAGGCATCTATATACAATAGTTAAGGTACTACTAGATGTATGTTTGGCGGTATATTTATATACTTTTAGGATTCTTTTTTATTTTCAAATACATACCCAACTTTCCATAGTCACCATCGCCCCAGCTGTAAATCTTCCCTTGATTTGTTACACAAAGGGTATGTGCGTCACCTGAACTGCAAGCAACTTTGACCACATGTTGTCCAGAAAGAGCGGAAACCACAGTTGGTAAAAAGCAGTCGTCTGATTTACCGTGCCCCAATCTTCCATAATGCCCTCGGCCCCATGTGTACAATTCACCATTAGCCGAAATCGCAGCACTATAGGTACCTCCACATTCAATATCGATAATGTTCTTGTTTAGAAGCAACTCTATAATTGTTGGCTCTTCTCTGGCTAATGCATCACCGTGTCCTAAAAGTTTATGATAAGCATCAAAACAACATAATAATTTCAACAAGTAACTGAAACAAACACACAGATACAATTAAAATCCAATGTTGGTAAAAATAAAGTTTAATAGCGCATAGACCCCTTAACTGCGTCTTTTTGAAGTGAAAACTTCTTTAGCGACGTTGGGCACGTTTTGGTAGGGGAAAATGTTATGGGTTCGCGTCACCGACATACTTGTAGCAGTATATCTGTAGCGATACAGCTGACGTATTGTGTAACATTAGTGCTGCGTATAATTATAAGTGAAATTGATGATTTATACAAAAGAAGATTCTGAAATACTGGAAAAAAGATTTGGCGAAAAATATGATAATGTACCGATGATTTTAAGTGGAGACTTCAATATTAACTTCGCAGATGATAAAAATCTACCATTAATTAAATTTCTAAATGAAACACTTAATTTAAATATGTCCTATGATCGAAAATTCAGTACTACAAAATATAAAACGACGATCGATACGGTTTTTACGCGATAGTTAGATAAATTTTAATTAAACATCTCCATTTCTTACTTTAGTTACCATAAGCCTATTGTGTCTTTTTTAGAACACAATGAAATAAATGAAAGTACAAAAAATCTAAGTATTGTTGAAATTAATGATGACAATGATGCAAACAATGTTAAAAATCAAGTACATTGAAATTTATGTAAATATTTGAATAATAAAAAACCNTAGGTGATTTAGGGAGATATCAGTTGTTAGGCAAAATTTTAAACATCAAGTAAAGGACAGTAGTAGATATACAGGAGCAGATATATAATTAGCGATCATAAAGTAGTAGTTATGAAGACCAATCTTAAATTAAAAATTCTGAAAAAGAGGGAAGCTAGGAGACGTCCTGACGTTCAGACACATTCAAAATATATGGTAACAAATGGTTAGTACTGCAACAAAATCCCCATACTGAGGAAAAAGTAATTTTGAATAAACATTACACAAAGTAAAAAGAAGAAGGAGATAAGATGAGGGAAATAATGTTAAAAATCAAGTACATTGAAATTTATGTAAATATTTGAATAATAAAAAACCGTATAAACATGCATACAATTAATAACAAAATGATGTTGACAATTTTTATTCAAACATTGTGAAATTTCAAATTTTAATACTAAAAGTTCTAAGTTTTCACTTCTATCGGCAGTCCCTATAACTGCCAATTTTTTTTTTCTCAAAATTTGTAATCTGTTCATATCAGGTATATTTCTATAAATTCAATTTGTTACTCCGTCTCGTTCCAAGCCTTCCTAAAGGCCTTTATAATGGCGACAATTCTCACCATTTATTAAAGGCGACTGTCAAAAAGCACGAACTCTGCAGATTATGCGAAATTGGCAAATTTTATCGATCTTATTCGATTTTTGACATTTTTGTTGAGGACTGTTAATGAAATTTTATTGTTTCTTGGTAATAGTTTTTTTAATAATTAGCAATTGAAATGTGGAGCGTAAAAGCAAATCCATTTTTTTGGAACACTACTAATTAAAACATTATGTTACTTGTTAGAATGTAAGGAGGAGGCACTTGTAAAGAACAATAGCACTTGCATTACATCAAACAACAATATTGCATTTATTAATCCGTATTCTTCTACAATGTAAAAAGCGACCATGCGCTACCGCTCTAACTCTGTGTCTACCTCACGACCTCGCACTCTCTCTTACCTTACACACATACTCCCTAGCTACCGCGTTACCACTACATAGGTGGGCACAACATTACTGATAAGTTAAATTTCAACGATAAAAACCCCGTGTATTCCATATATATTGTAATGATTAAACAGAACGAAGGAAAGCCTTTTATTTAGTTAATATCCTATACTATACTAGGTACCTTTGAACTTCTTGTAAACCCAGTTGCAATTGTAACTAATTTTGTTTCTTTGATAGATGTATACTTCTAATTATAATGATTAAATTAATTTGATGCACTTATCGCAGTGTTGATCAGAAAACAAGAGATTCATGTATCAAAATTTAACCGTCGTACTGTTTATGCTATTAATAAGGATATGTTTTATGAGAAAATTCATGCTCTATAAATATGGCTCACCCTATCCATTTTTAACCTAACGAACTTATTGTTAGTTTTACAAGAGAGAGTGAAAAAAGACAAGTGCGCCGATTCATTCCAATTGAAAATTGTTTTTTTGTTTAATTAAGGAATCTCGAAAAACTTGTTTTAATCACTATTTCTGGCTTATTGGATCGATCCTTACTTATTCAGGAGTTCTTGAAATTACATTTTTTCTGTTTTACAAACTTCTCAAGAAAACTCAAACCATACACATAATGCAAATAAATAATAAATAACGCCGCGAAACCTCACACTGGGCGAATAGCTTCATTAAATCTCGTTNATATACGAACCCGGTGACAACTTGACGCAAAAATTTTATAGAACGATCAGCCACTTCCAACCAAACTGGCGAAACAGTGGAACAATCAAATAACGAAGCCACTGGCAATATCTGCAGAGCTTCCAATGATTCCAACAGTAAATCACTGCATAAATCGACATCTTCGCCTGCAATTTAAGTTTTATGGTAACTAGTGGACTGAATTACTAATACTAATATGTAACGGAGGCCTGCCCTTGTTCAAAACATGCAAGAGTTGGCGAAAATATCTTCGCACGTGCACAACCAACCATATACATCGTAAGCACGGTTCTACTGATTTAATTTTTGCCAGATAAAAAAAAAGAAGAAGAGAAAGCCGCAGATAAGGCATTGAAAATCATGAATTTTTAATCACTTATTACCAGTAATTTTTAGCAGAAGTGTACACAGTTCTAGAAAAATCGGTGCAGTAGTTTTGGTGTAGTGCGTATAATATTCAGCGAAACTTTCTGAGATGAGGTGTTATGAGAGGATGTTAAAAAAATATCGTGAATAGAAAAAGTTAGAAAGAAAGATGTATTAGAAAGAGTAGAAGAACAGAAGGTATTTTAATATCAATGTGAAAAATAAATTAATTTTTATCCAAACTATGAGGAAAAATTAGTATTGCTACCACACCCTCGCCGGAAATCGTACCCGGGACCTTTCGCTTTACACACCAATACTCTGATTACTAAGTTACAAGAGGTGACAACATCAGCAAAGTCAAAACATACTTATTAGGTCATGCTCTATAAATATGGCTCACCCTATCCATTTTTAACCTAACGAACTTATTGTTAGTTTTACAAGAGAGAGTGAAAAAAGACAAGTGCGCCGATTCATTCCAATTGAAAATTGTTTTTTTGTTTAATTAAGGAATCTCGAAAAACTTGTTTTAATCACTATTTCTGGCTTATTGGATCGATCCTTACTTATTCAGGAGTTCTTGAAATTACATTTTTTCTGTTTTACAAACTTCTCAAGAAAACTCAAACCATACACATAATGCAAATAAATAATAAATAACGCCGCGAAACCTCACACTGGGCGAATAGCTTCAGTAAATCTCGTTTGTATCCTCACTTGTAACTTCATCAAATTTAATGATATCAAAATAATTATTCTGAATTTTGAATGCAATCACTCATACCAATGCGCGATGCTGCAGAAATTTATGTTTTAGTCAAGAAGCTTCCTAATTGCGCATTAGACCGCCAACATAATTAAAACATATCATTTATAAGATAAACACATTACCCAATCGACCACTGTCTCCATTTCCCCAAGAGTACACAATACCATCTTTCGTCAAAGCTAAAAGATGTTTTCCTTCAACATGTCCAGCAATTTTTATTACAAATACATCTTTCAAAGCTAAAATAGAATTTCATTGTAAAGTAAGACGTCATCAAATGTATGTCACTTGTCTTACACACCTTCAATAACATGGGGAAAAGGAGTTTCTGAATTTAATGGCATACAATATAGGACACCTGTTCGGGTCAAAATGTATAAATTTCGATCGGAGCATACTAACTGAACAATTCCCAGTTCTGATATTGATTCACAAATTTGTGTCTCGTTGACACCTCCCCAGGATAAACAACCCCAGATCCACATGCTTTGGGCATGAAAGTTAGATGATGACTAAAAAAAATATATTAAAAATAAACTCTTTATTAAGAAATTTTTACTGCCACACAAATTGGTTTTCAGACCATTAGAGCCATATCGCTGCCTGGCTCAAAAATAAACCAATTTATAGAAAAATCAGCACATCACTTCAAAAATGATTTATTTGCAAGGTACTCACATTGCTCAACGACTGCGGTGGTATATGTGGCGAAGCCAACCGTTCTAAATGTGAAATTAAAAAGACGCTAGCTTGCTGCAAATCAATTTCTATATCATCATCAGTAGGTAATTGGACCATTTTTCGATACATTGAAACACAGTTTAAAATATCACTAGAATTGTTTTCATCAGATACGTTCGCTTTGTGGCATGGGATGTTCGAAAATTTTTTAAGGAATGTTAATAAAGGTGCGCTAGCCGACTGTACTGACGATCTACAATAAACAGTATCCTATTTAACAAAGTTCCTATGAAGATATACTTTAATTTTAATTTAATTGATAAATAGTAGTATCTTATAGAAAAATCTTGTTGAAAAAAATGTTGAAGAACTAAAAAACCATCTGAAATTTTATCTTATAAATTTTGAATAACTCGAAGCTGGTAAAAACGGTAATAGTGCAAGTCTACAAGCCTACATCATCTTACAATGACGAAGACGTAGAAGCGGTTTATGCAGGTTAGTATTGCAACAAAATCCCCATACTAAGGAAAAAGTAATTTTGTATAAACATTATACAAAGTAAAAAGGAGAAGGAGATAAGATTAGAAAAATAAAGATCTATATCCAAGTAAAATATAATAGCATTATTTCTATTTAAAAATGTTTGGAACGTTGGTAGAATAAACTTCTAAAAAATTACTACGTCGAGAGAATTTATTTCCTCCATCCATTATTATTTTCATAGCCTTACCTGTTATCGTCCGAATGAATAGTTTTATCATGTATGTTAAGCAAAAGCAACAAAACGTCTAAGATGGTGGACAGCGTTCCCTTTTGAACAGCTAATTCCAATAATATGTTAAGAGAGGTGTGCTGATCTTGTATTGGAATCTCACAGTATTGTCTGCCGCTCACAACATCTCTAATGAAAAATACAATAAGTCAGTAACGTTAAAAAAAATAATTAAAAAATATATACGCACCCGGTGACAACTTGACGCAAAAATTTTATAGAACGATCAGCCACTTCCAACCAAACTGGCGAAACAGTGGAACAATCAAATAACGAAGCCACTGGCAATATCTGCAGAGCTTCCAATGATTCCAACAGTAAATCACTGCACAAATCGACATCTTCGCCTGCAATTTAAGTTTTATGGTAACTAGTGGACTGAATTACTAATACTAATATGTAACGGAGGCCTGCCCTTGTTCAAAACATGCAAGAGTTGGCGAAAATATCTTCGCACGTGCACAACCAACCATATACATCGTAAGCACGGTTCTACTGATTTAATTTTTGCCAGATAAAAAAAAAGAAGAAGAGAAAGCCGCAGATAAGGCATTGAAAATCATGAATTTTTAATCACTTATTACCAGTAATTTTTAGCAGAAGTGTACACAGTTCTAGAAAAATCGGTGCAGTAGTTTTGGTGTAGTGCGTATAATATTCAGCGAAACTTTCTGAGATGAGGTGTTATGAGAGGATGTTAAAAAAATATCGTGAATAGAAAAAGTTAGAAAGAAAGATGTATTAGAAAGAGTAGAAGAACAGAAGGTATTTTAATATCAATGTGAAAAATAAATTAATTTTTATCCAAACTATGAGGAAAAATTAGTATTGCTACCACACCCTCGCCGGAAATCGTACCCGGGACCTTTCGCTTTACACACCAATACTCTGATTACTAAGTTACAAGAGGTGACAACATCAGCAAAGTCAAAACATACTTATTAGGTCANACTTTATAAGTTGTTTGATGAGATGCAACAGAGGAATAGAAGTCTGGGTGGTGAGGGTTTCGAAAGTTTCCTCGACTTCCGCTAATTCGACAATTTCAGAACGAAGTGCTTCGCATAAAGCAGCTTCTAAACCACCATCTACCATTAAACTCCACACCAATAAATTAGACATGAAACGATGGCCAGAGCTCAAAGCGTTGGTTTCTACACCTTAACAATTTGGAATATTCTTAATAAAATAAAACTTTAAGCATACAACTAAATCGTTTATCCATTTTGAAAAAACGAAGTTATAATAGTATTACACTTATACACTAGTGAAGAACATATTTAACCGATCACGTAAAATGTTAGGAATAATCCCTTCCACAAGGTGCAGTACCAAAGTATCACGTATCGCAATGTTAAACCAAACTGAAAGTTTTAAGAAGTTATTAACCTCTTATTTTTATTAGAATTATTATTTATTTTGTTTACGAAATTTCTTTATATTGTTTACTAGACAATTGCAGTTCAATTTCGCCTCAGACGGCAAAAACGTGCACGATCTGATTGCATAGGCGCCATGTATCGCATAAGTTTGATCAGTCTAAGGAAGCACAAGTCCCGCCTCTCGTACATCATAATTGTCACTAGCCTACCAATATTCCATGCATTTAAAATGCATGAAACAGAATCTCCATATGGTCGGTTAAACTTATTCCTGTAGCGTATAAAGAAATCATTCAAAAATGAACACCCTTACCTGGACTGGGCAAAAAGGAACTCAAGGTTTGTGCTCTTTCGTTAGCTGTAGGCAATAAGACGCTCCAGCCAGCTTGAAGTGTTGATTGTGCAATCTAAAATTTTTTGAAAAAAATTAGAATGTATGGTAGTCAATAATAAAACAAATATACTAAGGGAGTTTCCTTTTTATCCTTTCTACTATACATTGGAAGGAATTCAAGCCAAAAAAGGGTTGTAAAGTTTTTCTTGATGTTAGACCTTCATCTTCGTTTGTGTGGCTTCTTCAAGATTGATTTTAAAGTTGGAAATAATTGTAAAGTCTACCTCGAAACTTTACAACCCTGATTTGGATTAAATTCCTTGCAAATAAACTAATTAATTAGATAAATTAATTTAAACAAAGTAATTATCGATATCAGATGAATAGATAAAAACACTTTGTTTTGAAACTACATATGGCGTGCTAATGAGAACAAACAAAACTAAAGTCGCGAACCATCAATATTAGGACTTTTCCATTACTAAAATCCATCAGAGGCATACACAGATACAGTACAGATACAGTAACCCAGACCAGTTATACTATTTAAATAAACCGTCATTGGAAGAAGTTTCTTATTGGTTTTCTTGTATCATTGTGGCAAATTTTGGTGCAGTAATTCTCCACAGATAAACATTTCTTTCATTTCCCCTATCTCTCATCAACGTCCACCCACTCATTTCCGGAATTCCTTAAAGAAGGCTACCCTACCCACCAGCTTTGCACTAGAGTATAACTCGGAGGGACTGCTCGACCACCGGCATTAATAGCTGTGATAGAAATAAAACAAGCAAAATTTTTCCCGCGTCAGTATGTAATACATATATATGTGTTTTTGATAACGGCATAATAGTCGATGCACAACTAAGAGTTTTTAAAAATAAATTTGTAAAAGCTTGCTGTTTTTATCTAATAGTTGAAACCATATTTTTTTAAATATATTTCACCCAATTATACATAATTTATTATTAAACTGCAACATAAATATTTAAAACGATAGCTCACCGTCTGTACACTTAATGTTATCCCAGGTGTACTAGCAAGATATACGACTTTGGATTTTATGTTATTCAACAGTTTACTACCAGATCCAAAATTGAATGTATTAGCATCAACGTTATTGCTAATGATACAATGTAACTGAAAAAAATACAAATGTAATGCTGCACCACATTATTATTAACATCAAGCCTACTTGTAAACTGAGAATTTTCAAACAGGACACTGCAATTATTTCTTTCTCCTGTTCAATGGGAGCACCTGGCATTGAACGACACCTTTCGCAAATAACTGCTAACAGTTGATCCAAAAATCTAAAGTTAAAGTGTAATTTAGAGCTCTTTAAACACATCATGTGATCCAGCAAATTTGAATAACTTAAAAGTTAGTGGACTCTTATTTAGTCATAACGACAATACAATTATTTATTATATTTCCAACTATTGCCACTTAATGAAACTATGAAAAATAATTACACGCGATAGTGGTAACATCATGGCATAATTCTAGATAAACTTTAACATACAAACAAAATTAGTGGCATATGCGGTAATACAATCAAACAGCTCTGTCACTTTCTCTCTCGTATTGTTAACTAAATACTTATTCGGTTACAAGGTCTGCCTCTCGCGCATGTCACAGATCAAAAAAACGTATTCTAATTCTAATTTATCATTTTTATAGAGCTCTAATTAGGATTTATAATTAGGGTTGTAGGCATTACATCTACACTGTTTATTGGCTAACTTTAACAGCATCTGACTTACTTAAATGTATTTTCGTTTAAATCAATGACGAATGGTAATTTAAGTGGTGGAATCCAGCAACTGTAATCTGTCCAAGCAAAACTTTGGGATGGTCCACAACATACTCCGAATATTCTCTGGCCATGTAAATTTTCAATAAGAATCGGCTCTTGGATATAAAGCCCATTGTCACAAATTTGCTTAAAATCATTTTTCCCCCAACCATAAACTTCTCCTTTATCAGTCAATGCCAAAGCATGTCCTATTCCAAGACTAATGCATCTAACACGTTTATCTAAGAAAAGAACAAAATTACATAATTTCCTACGATCAAATTTTTATGCACTTCAACATACCTTTCAATTTTTCTACTAATTGAGGAAATCGAACATGTTCATCAGTTGAATGTCCTAAACGCCATCCTTCGCCTTTTCCCCAACTATAAACTTGACCTTCCTTACTAACCGCCAAACTAAATTGTGTGCCGCAATAAACTTGTGTTATTTCAACATTTTGTAATTCTTCAATCAATTTAGGAATTTTCGATCCATCAGAACCGCCACGGCCTATATAACAACATGTAAAGTTAGACAAATACAACAAAGCAGCATAAACGACACAAAAGCAATATATCTATGAATTGTCATATATTAATGCAGATTTAAAGGCACTTGTAAACAAGAATGCGAGTAAAATGAAACTAAAAGATCTGTATAACAACTAATACATTAGAATGACTTAACGTAATTAAAGCGACTATAACCCGAGGCATCTATATACAATAGTTAAGGTACTACTAGATGTATGTTTGGCGGTATATTTATATACTTTTAGGATTCTTTTTTATTTTCAAATACATACCCAACTTTCCATAGTCACCATCGCCCCAGCTGTAAATCTTCCCTTGATTTGTTACACAAAGGGTATGTGCGTCACCTGAACTGCAAGCAACTTTGACCACATGTTGTCCAGAAAGAGCGGAAACCACAGTTGGTAAAAAGCAGTCGTCTGATTTACCGTGCCCCAATCTTCCATAATGCCCTCGGCCCCATGTGTACAATTCACCATTAGCCGAAATCGCAGCACTATAGGTACCTCCACATTCAATATCGATAATGTTCTTGTTTAGAAGCAACTCTATAATTGTTGGCTCTTCTCTGGCTAATGCATCACCGTGTCCTAAAAGTTTATGATAAGCATCAAAACAACATAGTAATTTCAACAAGTAACTGAAACAAACACACAGATACAATTAAAATCCAATGTTGGTAAAAATAAAGTTTAATAGCGCATAGACCCCTTAACTGCGTCTTTTTGAAGTGAAAACTTCTTTAGCGACGTTGGGCACGTTTTGGTAGGGGAAAATGTTATGGGTTCGCGTCACCGACATACTTGTAGCAGTATATCTGTAGCGATNTTAAATAATATAGTTGCTACAAAATCAGTTAATTTTGAAAAAAAATAGCTACCTACAATTTTTACTGTAATGTTCTTTTTTAACGTCATTCTGTTGCCGGCAGTTCACTTAGCTGTCATTACCGGCGGAGACAAAACCAAGGTTTAATGAATGGAACTTATTAGATTTGCTCAAATTTTTCTCTACTAAATTTCTACTACTAGTTCCATTCTAATCTTCATTAGAGTATAAACAATTGGTTAAATTATTTTTGATGCTTAGCAATACACAAAAAAATACAAATTACACACCCTAGAAGTGTGTCTGAAAGTATTAAGATTTAAGCTCACCTAATCTCCATGCTCTTCTCAAGAAAGCAAAGGAAAAATTAAGAGCAGCTCTAGAACCAACTCTGGCTAATCCGTTAATGGGATTAAAATGAACATTTAATGGATCTAAATAACTTGCTTGTTGTTGATATGAATGTGACAACATAGTCTCACTGCATATTCTATTTTTATTGTGTACATGTGCCTTCCTTTTATATATACTACCCTCCTCTTCTGACAAAAATGGTGACCTGTTCAGTGCAATAAAGTAACGCTTGAATACTAAGAATGCTCGATGGAGTCTTTGAAATGAGAGAGAAGTACTTGCAGCTTCAAAGCATAGTTTAAGTTGTTCTTTATTAAGGATATCTGTAAATGATTCTAACTGTTCGTAGGCTAAAAAAGAAATTCAGTTAAGTAAAGATTTTCGTAAATCAGTCACATTTGATGAATAAAAACAATGAAACCTTACTTGGTGGAGGTCCCCATATCCACAAATCTAGCACCGACTGAGGGGTAACAGTTGTACCTTTTTCATCTTTTACCTGGTCATTCTCTTCGAGATCAAGCTTCTGACATGGCTGGCAATTACAACCAAAGTGAGGACCACATATACCATCACAACAGGTGCAAGTTAATACCTACAATGTTATAGCAGGTACAATAATTTTCAAAACTTCTTGAAGCCTGATTTACTTGCAAACCACAGTAATATTTTCCAGATTCTCCTTTTCGTGCAACAACGCCAGCAGTGTTTAGAAGACCATCCGAAAAAGGTCCAATCACCTCACCATCATTGATTAGTCTATTCCAAAGTGAATCTAATCCATCTTGTTTTCGAAAAATCGACTGCAAATCTGTTTTGAGCCACTTATGGTCAAAACGATGCTGGGCTCTTAACTTTACATTCATTTTGTTTTAATATTACCAATTTCGTTTCATTGTAACATTATTAATATACGATTAATAACTGACATTTTAGATTTTACATTATCATATTGTCCAACCCCAACTGTCAACATTGTCAACATGAATATTTTGTATACATATTTATTATGTATGTATATTAACTATTTGTGTGGGTATACTCGTAAGGGATCAACACTCCAATCTTGCAGTGGCGCACGGTTGTAAAATGGGTTGCATAGGAAAAACACTGTAATCCATGGAACAATCCCAATGCTTTGTTGTGTCTATATTGTGTCGCCTGGTGTGAGAAAGAATGCTACATACTGTCCTCCCTTAATCCCTTCGTACATCTTTTTCTAAGAGCGTAAGTTTACATCTATCAGAATGTTCACCAATAACTTTATTGAGGATTTGTATATATGTACATATTTGATAATCGTAATTTTGTAGTTTTGATGTAGTTATTGATCAATACCTTCGCATGTGTTTTGTTTGAAGGTAATTAATGCCCTTATGAAATTGACCACTCTCTAGAAAGAGAGAAAATGACCTTGCTGTCAATATCTGTCTCTTTTCCTCCTTCTTTACCTTATTCATCCGCTCCTGCAAGATTCTGACGTAGACCAATCAAAATTCTAAAAAAAGACCAATGGCCGCACGTTCGTTAGTCTCTCTCACACGTTTCTGCCTGTATGTTTTTTATAGCTAAATAGAAAATGCTCTGAAAATCTCTTTGTCTATGGTTCGAACGCAATATATCACAGCCGTCTCTAGTTACAAGCCTAGTTACAAGCCGTGCTGAAGATTCACTTGGCAACACTGTTAGAGTCCTAGGATTTCCCGATTAATGAGAATTAACATAGAGTTAAGCTGTTACATTAGTTGTTGTGTTTCGCTCATAATAAACAATAAACTCTTGCGTTGGAGATATTTATTTTGATTATTTACGAGGAGGACTTTCCGTTCCTACTGTTAGTGTCAGTATGTTTTTTTTCACATTTATTCCATTCTTAAAGAAATAAGTAATAACGAAAATTTAAACATAATATGTAGGGGCGTGTAGTAATAACAAGACCCGCAGAATAGGACTCTCTGGGACTCTCACAATGAAGCAATGCGCTGTTGCCAATTTTCTCAGCACGGCTTGTAGTAGAGACGGCTGTGAATATATCCTTGTAGTCTTTTGTTTAAACGATAGTTCAACTTGCCATATTTCTCTTATCTATGGACAGTTCGAAGATGTCAGTAGTAGAGTGGATTAATAAATTATTAGAGTGATCTCGGAAGGAAACGCACTTCTCTTTTTGCTAAAGTTCGACTTCAACCTCACGGTCGACCCCCCCCCCACAAGACCCTACATACCTCCCTGTCCCCCCACAATCTCCTTCCTAACATTTTCAACATCTTCGTTTCAAAAAATGCCACTTGCTCCGCCGATCCCACCGTTCTCCAAGCACTAAGCTCCGACCAACTTCCAGCCCTAACCGAAGTCCCTCAATTCTCACTGCTTTTTACGCCAATGACATCATCCTTATAAATGCTGCTCAAACTATTCTCCAGTGCTCCGCGAAAATTAACAAATTTCTGCCACTGCTCCTAAGCTGGTACCGAAAATGGAAACTCTCCGTTAACGAGGTCAAGTCAAAAGCAATTTTCTTCTCCTGAAGGACTCGAAAGCTTCCCCCTATCACCATTCACCAACTTTCTCCCAGAGAAATTGAGCCTTTTCACAATAAAGCTCACCTGGCGGAAACACATCCAAACCACCCGTGTCAAGGCCCTCGGCGCCTTTATCTCTCTCAATCGCTTCTTCCAAAAACAACTCCATCTCCTATCAAATCAAAATCCGTAAATTCAACGCAATCATCAGGAGCACCTGCTCTTACGCCATTCCCATGTGGGGGTGCGCCCATCCCAACAATTTACTCCTTCAAAGTGCCTGCACACAACTACGTCTGGTTCGTTAGAAGCGCCCAAATTCTGAAAAAAACCCGACTACTTTCACTCCCTAAAGCTGCAATCAGATTCACGGTAAATCTCCAGACCTCAGTGTCAGTCACCCCAACCCTTCTATCTCGGCATTTTCTGACTTTGTACCTAACCCAAAAAACCATTTTAGAAGGCCCTGCGACTGCTCTGAGCTGCTCATTTCCATTTCAACTTTTTTAGCGCAAGGGTCCACCCAATTTATTCGAGGGAAGTGTTGATCTCCATTTTATCACCTTCTTCCCCAAATTATTCCTCTCACACACTTAATTTCCTTCCTATTCGAAACCTTTTCCACAGAATCTTCTCTGGGATGCAAAACCTCCGAGTTGATTTCTCTACTCGAGGAGAGATTTTAGTTGGTAGGAGCTTCGGCGAATTCGACACTACCCATCTTTAGGGGATGTCTTTTGAAGATTTTTCCCTCCTCGAATAAATGAGGTAAAAAAATATGAAAAGAGACAGACATTGGCCGCAGGATCGTTTTCTCTTATTCTAAAGAGTGGTCAATGTCATGCTCACGATCAGTCCATCCATCCTCTATGTCTATGATTAGGAGGGATATCAGTCGATAATACAAACCATAAATTAAATACAAACATAACATGAACATAACCACAAACAACAACGATCAAATCGCAAAACGTGAAATCCTGTAAAAAACGTAATTTTAAATTACCGATTTAGTGCAGACATGTGCTTATTTTCCAGAATTTTTAAATAAAAACTATAACAGTTGTTTTTTTAAATAAAAGTTGTAAAACGTAATAGACAAACGGCAATGCTATGTTTATCATTATTAATTCATTGAGAGGATTACTTAAATCAAGATAAACGATAATATAATCTACCAAAATGATTGTGCGTTTATGTTATCTGTATAGTTATAGTAATACAAAAATGAAAACATATGATAATCCTGATAAAATATCTGTTGGTGCTTAAAAAAATCATTCACTGAAAATGGTTTTTCTAGATTATCTAAAAATTTTACTAGTAGGGTTTATTCTATTGTTACCGTTTTTATATGAAAGCAGTCAATATTTTAAATATTATTTTAAATTTGCCCTTTATTACTTACTAGTTGGTTATGTTAGCCTTGTAATGATCCCAGTTTTTTTGTTTAAACCCAGAAATGTTCATAATTTACTGTAAGTATGAAGAAAATAACAGGTAATGATTAAGAAGAATAATTTTTATTGTTTTAGTTTAGCAACTGCCATTTGTCGCTATATATCACCATTAATTGGTGTACAATGGGTTCTTCGAGGAAAAGAAGTGTTAGAAAAGGAAAATGCTTGCATCATAGTGTGTAATCATCAAAGTTCAATTGATGTATTAGGTATGTTAAATGTTGTTGTATAAAACATATAAATGAACAAAACTAAAAATTTATTTAAATATAAGCAACAAAGTTTGCGTAGGTAGGTACCATTTATTGTAAAAATAAAGTACTACAACTTTGCTTATTATTAATTACTTATTAGGTGTAACAATTTTAGCAGCAACTAAAAACAAAATTTATTATTTTTTACATCTGTTTAATTTCATCCTATTTTAAGTATTTCAAGTTTTTTGTGGTAATGCTTGTACCTACATTATTACGTTCTCACTATTTACTTAAATGTTATTAAAAGAAATATCCTTCTCTTAACAAGTTTATTTTATTCAAAACAACATGATTGATTGGATAAATTTGCCGAATGTAAAGTTTTTAGTCATTCGGAAGCCACAGTAACGTGAAATAACAGATTTTTTTAGTCGAATGGGCAGGAATAGCCACCCCCCACAACCTTACCTCGGAACCCTTTCAAGAACACACGAAATAGCTTTATGAATTTAACTTGTAACAATTGTTTCAGTCTGCGTCTAGTTTTTAGCTAACTCTCTGAACTTGACTGAATAGATTGAAACAATTGTTTTCTTATATTATTCAGGAAGTTTTTTCTCACGTGGAACCCTCTAGACTCTAGAGTATCAGTCAATTAAATGCACATATGAAAACTACTTAAATTTAAGTTATGCATTCGTCGTGATCTTAAAGCGGAAGAGCGCAGAGCGTTAGAGTCCAGGACCCGAAGAAGTCTATAAAACCTCATAGCTCTATTGACATCTGAAAAAATTCTTTGATAATACATTGTTACCGCGTACACTCCAAAATGCGTATAAATCGAAAAAGGCCGACCTCCGACGGGGCAGGAGCAACCCATATATTCAGATAATGTAAGAAGGGGGGAGGGAACTATGACACAGTTCGCACTCGGGCCCATTAGGATATTTCTACGCCATTGAAGGCACATACATCGACAAAAATACTTGCAATTTCTTTAATGAAGAATTGAAATTTTTTTTTTTAATTTGTATTTCTTTTAAATTAATACTTTACAATTTACTAGGACGCGCCTTTCATGAGTTTATAAGTTTAGCAATACGGCAATTTCAAGATGGCAGGTGTAACAAACTTTTTGTCGCCATTTTCTATTTACACACTAATCGTATAATTTTTTCATCTACAGGCGCTTACATATCAGATAAAAGCATTTTACTCCTCCCCTTACATCAAAAAAAGTTTACAAGTTTATTCAACCTATTTAATGAATGTAAACAACAAGATTTCAATTAATTTCATGATTTTTTCAGTCAGAAAAGAAACACTTTAACGTTGACTTAAGTACATGCTCATATTACAGTGTTAGTTTTTAATACGCTAGTTTATGTAAAATATACACATGGGAAATACCTATTAACAATCTGTATATTCATTAGGGATGTTCGATATTTGGCACATAATGAGAAGGTGTACTGCTATAGCGAAGCACGAATTACTATATGCGTTTCCATTTGGACCAGCAGCATGGTTAGGAGGGCTAGTGTTTGTCGACAAGAGTAACGCCAGTCGCGCTCGATATCAAGTTAACGTTGCAGCCGAGGAAGCCAAAAAGGACAATGTAATGTATCATATTATAAATAAGAAACTTGCATATTGGGTTGATAAAAATTTTTCAATACCATTTAAGGAGATCCGTTGAAAACTGCAAGTATTAGACACAGCCTTAAAATTGAAATAAATTACAGTATAATCTCAGTAAGATAAAGACCAAGGGAAACGTAAAATAATTTGAGTTATTCAGGTTTTTACCTACTAAGGGTTTAAGTTTAAGCTTTAAAATTATAGATTTCCAGTGACTTAGTAAACTCTTCAGCTTTTTCCTTTAGTATAGGTCCACTAACAATAATGTTTTTACGTATTTCTACACTGTCTAAACCATATAAACAAGCATTTTTCTAAATTGGGAAATTTGGCAATTCTTCGTCTTTTACATTGAAGACTTTCTCCCGATTCAAACCACTTTTCACTGCTTACTGAGATGCGATGCCCAAATTATTCGTTTAAGTTATAGAGGGTTTTTATTTTAATTAATAAAGGTTTTGGACTCCGAGGGGAGGTTATTACGTTATCGAGGTTTAAGTTATCAAGGTTCTACTGTATTAATCAATATGTCATGTAGAATTGCTTTGAAAAAATTCCGGTGCACCCTAAACAAATTTAATTTTTTATTTTCCAAAAAAAGTGCCTTAACGATGTACTTTCAGAATAAAGAACACGAGAACAAATAACCCAAATCGAATATCCCACTCCCATTTACCATAAAAATCTATGCAGTCGTATAGGAGTATTTGTTGCAGGTACCTATTGTTAAATTCCATAAATGTGACGTATGTTAAATAAATTCTTTTGATTTTAAATGTAATTAGACAGAATTAGGTCAACCTAAGTTCCATTTATGGAGTATTCTTCGAGTATTGTAATGTTGCCAAAAATAGAGGTCATAGGTTGACTATCAAACAAGAGGAAACATATGTTAACGTCAACACTTGCTTCTGCCGTAACCTGATAGTCCTATGCTTATCCGTCCAAAAAGGAATTAGTAAAAATAAATAATAAAAAAAAAAAACATATCGACTGGCAATAGACCACCGATATACTAGCCTAGCATTCCAACAGTGAACCAGCACCAGCTTCTGTCAAGCTGTTGTGCTTTGTTTACGGAAGATATTTGGCAAGGTTTGAGTGATTTATTAGGTTTTCATCAAAAAACTCCTAATCACAAGGAATTATAAATGCAATGTTGAATGCTATTCAAGCAAGATTTTGTTTATTTCCAATACACGATGTTACCAAAGGTTTCTTTAGTTGTTTACTACAAAAATAATTGAGTTACTTTGTAATCTATTTATAATTATTAATCAGGGTTTTAAATATAAAATTAAAAATTTACCGTTATTTCCTAACGGTATTACATATACTATTAATTTTATTTTGTACTAGCCCAAGAGCACTTGTTTCGATAGGTGCTTACAACTTCAAACCACCATATCTGGCGGATCTTTCGGGAACTATTCTAAAATTATTGGAATGAAACAGGTCACCGACATCAAAATGGCATTATGTATGAACTACCCCAAAAACCTACCCAATGCACCACCACGTTTATGAATATATTGATTTATCGTCTGAAACTAGAGTAGTACGGACCTCCTTAAGTAGTACAATATTTTTTTCATTTTTAATTTGTTAAATGTATATGTATTTAATTATTATATTCTACCAGCCCTCGGACACAAATTTGTTTTAATTATAAGGGGTGGCATGTGTAATAAATAATGTTTTTCCAAATAAAAAACGAACATTAATGTAAAATACAACAAATGGCGCGGTAAACGCCATCTGTAGTACAATGCTACATTTTAGGATTATGTATTCTCAACAAGGTCCATTTAAATACATAGATATTTACTTGTTGAAACGAAATCCCGGTGTAGCTCACCACTACATGTTCGATTATGGTAACCTGCCTATCACGCCGGGATTTCGTTTCAACAGGTAGATATCCATGTATTTAAATGGACCTTGTTGAGAATACGTAATCCTAAAATGCAGCATTGTACTACAGATGGCGTATACCGCGCCATTTGTGGTATTTTCTAAAACGTGCTGTTAAGACAACAGATAAAATTGGTCTGTGTCCTGTCGGAACTGTCTACTACGCGCTGATGTGATCCAACAAGATCGAAATCGTGATCCGATTCTGGCAGTTTCGACTGAACACAGTTATTTTATTCGATTATTTAATGTAGGAAGTGAAATATGCTTTTCTATTGTTTGTGTGTTGTGCTAAATTAATTACTATTGAAAATGGTAGTATGTATATACTATAAGTTAATTTATTTTAGATAAAGTTGTGGGTTTATCCTGAAGGCAAACGTAATGATACAGGCAAAATACATGAATTTAAGAAAGGAGCATTCCATATGGCACTTCATGCTCAATTGCCAATTGTTCCTGTTGTTTTCAGTCATTTCTATTTTTTGGATGGATACAGAAAACGATTTAATTCGGGTTAGCTCATTTTAAGATTATTACGATCAACACGACAACAAATACAATGTTTAGTTAACAAAATTTTTATTCTAAAAAGTCCATAATAATTATTTCGGTACACAATATAAATAGTTTCTTTAGGTAGAAGAATATATGTGACAAGTTGTCTAGAACTTTTATTTATTTAAACAAATCTTAACAAAACGAAATGTGTGCTGGGACACATAGAAGAAGTGAAACTTCAACAGACAAGTGGAAAAAGCAATGGCCTCGGACAAGTGGAAAAATGAATCGCAACAAAACTTTTACTTCCAGTTTTACGGGCGGATTGCTAATGTACTTGTTCAATTTGAAAACCTGCCTGTAAAAATTCAAGTAAAAATATTGTTGCGATTCGTTTTGCACTTGTCCGTTGTCATTTGTTTTTCCACTTATCCGTTTAAGTTTCAATTCTACTATGTGTCCCAGTACACATTTTGTTTCACAGGTTTACTGCAAATTATGATTTGATTTTTACACAGACCGCAAATAGAGGCAATGATGCCCAGCCACGTGGAGAGCAGAGGTAAGAAGACAACAGCTGAGCACAGCACACGCTACAAGGACTCTAGCGGGTGCGCATTATATCCATCTAATGCAGCCGTTGTCCTCTCTCCGCCGCTGCCGCCTCTCTCCACGCGATATACCGTCTACCCCCTCTACGCGGTCGTAACGCTTTTCGTGACAGAAAAGATCGTAATACCCCGTCTATATAGAAATTTCACTTACTTAAGTAGGTTGTAAATTAGGTTAAGTTAATTTAACAAAGACAAAAGTAGTATTTTCTGCAAACGCCCAAACCCAAAATTTTATTGTCTTCCACTTTCGTAACCAGTACGCAGAAATGAGAAGAAGTTTTGTCTATTCACATAATTCTCACTAAGCACTAAGTGCACTAGCACTTCTCAGTAGCGGTAAATAGCTTCTTTGGGTTAACGAAAGCTTTCTTGGTTGGATCAATATTCTGGGTTTTATAATTGTTTTACTAGCTCTAGCATTCAGCAAGAACGAACACTGTTTTCTATTTATAAACCTCGCGAGAAAAAGATTGTCAGCTCAGTTTTTCGATTTGCTGTACGTGTTGACGATGACTAGTTTTCTAAAATACGGACTACTCGCTCTTGAGCATTTTCCGCGCCCTGCAGGCGCTTCTTACGTGTCGTGTCTAATTAGTCCAAATTTCTTATCCACCTTACTAAGTAATCTGCAAAGTATATCTTCAGATCTATTCTTGTTCTTTTCATGTAGCTCCTCGTGTAATCCGTATTGTGTTTGCAAAATCTGTTTGATGACATCTTATTCCAGCACTCGGACTAGTATGTCGACAAAAGTTGTTGGCCTGTCCAGTCTAGTCGCTATTGTATGTCCATGAATTTTCCTGTTATTTTACGCGTCTATCCCTGCTTCACGTCAATGGTCTCTTCAATAATGGTCATGCTGTCCCGCTTTTCTGAATGTGGGTTACCGATCTTTTCTGGTATAACTGTGTTTTAGTTCATTCATGCGTAAATCCAATTGTTTAACTTCAAATTCAAGTTTATTTTCTGTTTCACTCAATTTTTCACTGAATGTCCCTAATTTTTCCATTACTTAATTCATTTTCAAGTTTTGCCTAATTCTCATTCAATTTTTCTTCTGAACTCTGTATTTTCTTTTAATTCTTTCAATTCTTATTCTAGTGGTCAAAATCTTCTTTAAACGTTCTGGAACAATTTTTCTTCTTTTTCTTTAATTCTTATTTAATTTTTCTTCAAAATTCTTATTTGATGAAATTTTTATTTAATTTTTGTTCAATATTTTCATGTTATGTTCTTATGCTTCTGTTTATTTTTTCCCACTCTTCAAATAAATTAACAGGTTTCTGTAGTCTACATTTGTGTGTAGTGTTGTGTCTTATTTCAATTCCTCCTTCTTTACAATTTAAATCAGATATCATCCAATCCATTTTTACTACAATTTTGTTTTCTGATCGTTTATCTTCAACCCCACACCTGACTCCAATTGTGACAAATTTTCTAATACACTATTTATTCACTAGGGTATACATAAGTCAAAGGGACTATTCGCCCACCAACTTTGGTGATGGGTAGGATAAGACGTTACTTTTATGTAAAATGTTTATTGTTACACTTCAATTTAAGCCTTAGTAAGACAAAAGAATTTTTACTTTTTTTTTATTTCACCTAAGGAAGCCCTTGTGGTAAATTAATTATTTTATTTTTTTTTACTGTATCTGTAATTGAGCATTTTGTTTGCTGTTGTGTTGTTAATATGAAAGGTACCAGAAGTTATAGCCTAATGGATTCGATTAAAAAAAGATGTAATTATTATTATTTTTAGGTAAAGTTATTGTAACAGTATTACCACCAATCTCGACGGAAGGGTTACCAATTAGTAAAGCAACAGACTTGGCAGCTGAAACTAAATTGGCAATGGAAAAAGTTTTTTATTCGACTAGTGAAGAAGTTAAAAGGAATGTAAATTGGAACTCTTCAAATAAACAAAATTAAAAATCGAGCGCCATTTAGGTACATACTTAGCATATACGTACTTCAATCAAAATTGCAATTTTATTTATTTTACTACTTTTATATAATCATATTTATTCACTTTTTATACGTCTTTTATATACGCCTGCGCCATGAAAAAACAAATTTTGTTGAATAAACTACGCAATAACATGTCAATCAGTCTATGACCAAATTTTACACCAGTTAGTGTTTGACTTGAAATAATTATCCAAGAACGTTTAAGTTCTTCTATAAAGTTTACCAGTGCAGGATTTTATGTTGAAATAATGTATTATTTATTGAAGTTAAAATTTTAATATATCAGATTTAACTTCATAGACAATTAAGCTTTTTTAATGTTTTATATTGTACATGTAGGAAAACGTTAAATAAGGAACCCCAATGTTTGTCAATCAGTGTTGCCATATTTTGTTACCTGAATAATATGTATTACCTATCTACATTTAAATTTACATTGTTTATTTTACCGTAAGTATTATTTTAAATTTATGATTTATACAATTAACAAACCAATTTTGTACCAATTTGAAGATAATAAAATGTCAACCAATTGTTTTAATGGTAGTGTGTCAAATAAAATCGAACGGAGAAAAGGGCGACACCGGTATCAACTATTTAACCGATCATCATTGTCAGTGATACAGAAAAGCACATAGGGCACCTTTTATCTAGAAAAAATATGGTTCCCGTGGGATAGAAAAAAACACTTGGTTTTATGAAACCACGATGCAAGTGAAACTTTTCGGATTGTAGGCATTTAACGTGTAAATTTTCGAAAAATTATTCGATTTAGGGCATTAAAATTAAAATCGCGTTCTTAATCTTATCTTAATGATGGAAAATGGGAATGATAAATGGAAACCAATAGTAGACATGATATCCAGCAATAAATTTTAATTTCAATCTGCGTATGAGTACGGAATACATTATAAATACAGTCATTCAGATGATAGACGCATGTTAAAAGCTGAGAATAATATTTATTTAAATCATTGAATCATTTTGAACTTCAGTTATTCTATCGATAATTTCATCTTCGCTTTGAGTTTCATGGTCTATAAATATAATTGTCATGCACTTGCACGAATAAGTGAGAATATAAATGCTAGACGCATGTTAATAAAACTGAGAACAATATTTATTTAAATCATTAAATGATTTTGAACTTCAGTTATTCTATCGATAATTTCATCTTTGCTTTGNACGGAATACATTATAAATACAGTCATTCAGATGATAGACGCATGTTAAAAGCTGAGAATAATATTTATTTAAATCATTGAATCATTTTGAACTTCAGTTATTCTATCGATAATTTCATCTTCGCTTTGAGTTTCATGGTCTATAAATATAATTATCATGCACTTGCACGAATGAGTGAGAATATAATTGCTACACGGTTAGCTCATGCGAGCCATGGGCGCCGCCATATTGGCCTTGGCTGCTGTGCCGAGCGCCTTTCACTTTTACCCCTACTACGCGACCGGTTGTAATGCGACATGCGATAGATGGACGAAAAAATTGAGGTGATGTAATAAAAGTTTCACTTTAAAAATTAGTTTTAAGTGGTCGATTTCACGCCTTAATTACTTAAACGATCATCATGAAATTTTGTAGACACATTGTCATAGATATAGAAAAGGACATAGGGTACTTTTTATCCAAAAAAATAATGCTTTTCTATAGGGATAAAAAAATTAGTTTTGTGTCGATTTCACACCTTAACTACTAAATCGATCATCATGAAATTTTGTAGACACATTATCAGGAGTACAGAAAAGGACGTGGGGTACTTTTTATCCAAAATATTAATGCTGTTCCCGATGGATAGAAAAATTACTTTTATGTGGTCGATTTCATGCCTTGACTCTTCAATCGATCAACACGAAATTTTGTAGAAACATTATCATAAGTACAGAAAAGGACATAGGGTACTTTTTATCCAAAAGAATAATGCTGTTCCCAAGGAATGGAAAAATTAGTTTTATGTGGTCGATTTCATACCTTAATTACTCGATCGATCATCATGACATTTTGTAGAAGCATTGTCAGGAATACTGAAAAGGACATAGGGTACTTTTTATTTAAAGAAAAGTGCTGTTCCCGAGGGATGGAAAACTTAGTTTTCTATGGCCGTCTATGATTTTTTGACACATCATTTTAAAATATTTCAATTCTTTTTACAAACATGCTGATATTTGTTTGTTTAGAAATGTAGGCGAAATAAATTAAGATAAAAGACTTAATATAATCAGTGATAAGTGGTTATTTAAACCACAAAAAAAGGGGAAGTAATCGAATTCCTCAGAAAAAGATTGAATGTCAAAAGTAAATAATGCTTGTTCCAAATGTACAATGTTGTTAACCATTACTTTCTTGTTTCGATTGTAGGTCATTATAATTTTTAATTGTTGCTCTTATCGATCATGATTTTTAATTGTTTGCATATTATTAGCTTTTTTATTATCTAGAAGGTGTTGATTGTCAATTTGTTATTGTTGACTTGCTGATTAATTTTAAAGCAAACTATCCAAATTATCACGGTTTAGGTACTGCATAGCAGAGAGAATTGAAATTGTCACACTCTCTTTTAAGAACAATGAAATGCAATAATTTTTAATCGAAAACATCCTCTTAAGAGCCCCAGTCACCTCTAAAAGTTGATATCTAAATTCATGAAGATTAGTATGCAATGGTTATAATTTTGGTACATGATGAACTAGATGCTATATCAAAGTACTAGAAAATTGCAAACTTCTTCAGGAATTCCACGTAGAACTCTAAATAATCTTAAGAAAGTATCAATTCCATCCGTATAAGATTCATCTCGTGCAACAGCTCAATGACGATGATCCAGAACGTCCTATACAAATTTGCGAGAAAATGAGTGAAAGAAATGTGAAGTCTCAATTTTTCATATAATACATTGCACGTTCTTTCGTAATGGTTACGTTAACAAACATAATAGCAGATATTGGAGTGATTTGAATTCTAGAATTATAATAGAACTGCATTCACAGTTTCAATCAGAAATAGTATTGTTGGTCCATTTTTTCTAACGCATAATTTGACAGATTAATCTTACTCAATTTGCTTGAAGACTTAATCTACCCTCGCTTTGTGGAGACTCTTGAAAATAACGATTGCGTTACAGAGAATAATGTACTTTTTCAACAAAATAGCGCTTCGTTACACTATGCATCTTCTGTACGTGACTCTTCGAATCAGCATTTTCCTGAACACTGAATTAATAGAAGGGGTTCCATTGAATGGTCTCCAAGATCGCCAGATTTAACACCATTAGATTTGTTCTTACGGGGCCCTTGAAAGAGCTGGTATCTACGAAATGGAACGTACCTCTTTAGAAGATTTACTTCACCGAATTAGGGCTACATGAGGTGAAATAATCCCTGAAATACTGTAAAATGTTCGAAAGAATGTTGAACAAAATTTTTATTACTGAATGGAAATAAATGGCTTGCAATTTGAACATTTAATGAATTAGTAGATACTTATTTGAAAACATTTTTCCACCTACGTTTCCAATTGGTTTATCTCATTAATTTATAAGTATGACCTTATATCCATGCATTTAGAATAAAAAGAAACCCCCCTTTGAAGTAAAATCGATCTGCTTCAGGAATTTCCAGGTAGAAGGTTTTAAATGCGCCATGCCTGAAGCTAATTACACCAAAAACATTATCAAAAATCGATAATTTTCAGATTTTTTCTTTTATATATAGATATTTAAAGACCCATCTTTGTCACCTTTCAAATTTCTTAAGTCATCTAGAAGTGGCACAGATTTTTGATAAGTGAGTCAGTGAATGATAACTTTTCAGGTAGTAGGTTAGGTTATAATTGAATTTATTTCAAACTAAGAAAATTTGTACAAAGTGTTCAGGTCGGAAGTACATAGCAGAATGGCACCATCATAAGATGTATTTTATCAAACATAAATGGTAAAATATAACAGTATAATTCCTTGTTCTCTTTCATTGAATATAAGCGATATATTAAGATACATGAACATGCCAAAACACTAGAAAATTCTGCTTTGTAACGAATATTAAGATAGCATGCATGAACATGCCTAAATCCTGGAAAATTCTGCTTTGTAAAATTGTAATTTTAAACGTAACTCGCAATAGCTGCCAACAGAGAGAACTGAGAAATCCCCGAACAACCAAACAGTACCTTAGACTGGTTTGTCAGAGAAAAGTAATCGGTAGCATTATACTTAAATATTTTGCCTATATCTTATGTTTAAATAGGATTGATACAAATAATAGAATCTGTTATTCTTTCATTCAATTTATCTATGAAATAATATTTCTATAAGAAGAATTTTGTCACTACATATACCCTACCATTTCTGTGCTCTGTATTATTTAATAGAACAGTAAATATTTTGTATAATTATTCAGTACCTTTGTATGTATAGTACGATTTTTTTACAGTAAAGTAATAAAAGGTCAGTTTAAAAACAGTCATTAATTGATAAGTAATACCAGTTTGTAAGTTTATGAGTAAGTACGTAACTCATTGATCTTATCACAGCATACATAATTTATCTTGTAAATGTATAAAGAATCGCGCAATAAAACACCTTTCGCACTCTAACTAATTTATTTTGCATATTAATCTTCAAGCAACACTATGAATAATAATTAAAACAACATACATGAATTAATCACTCGCTCACTATTTTATATCGCCCACTGAATTCCTTCTTCATTTTTCATAGGAGCTGGAGATTCTAGGAGATTCCATTCCAGAACGCATTAAGTTCTAGAGAATTCTAGCCTTCTTTGTTACTAGTGTAATCTTGGCAATCCAGTACAGGCCATCTGACGCTTATTCACGTGTAGATACTTGCAATATACTTACATTGTACTGATGTTACTTTAATATTGTAATGTCCGTGGGTTTAACAAAATTAACTTCTAATACTGATAACGACAAAAACTATTTATTTACATTAATTATTGAAGAACACAAAATTATTATTAAACTTAGGTTATGAATTATTTTATTTATTTACACTACTGTTGATATATCACTATTCACTGCGCTATTTATTTCACTGCTATAACTGTCAATTTATTTCTGGATTCACTTCTGCAACGGTCAATTTATTTCTTCTTTTTTTCTCGGCGATCGTCTCTTCCTTTTTATACTCTTTTGTTTACTTTCTGGAACCTTCGGGAATCATCCGGATAGTTTATTTTTTCTTTGAACTGTTTAACTGCTTTCCCAAAAAACAGGTACGACACACACATTTACAAATACGGCGCACATGAAGAAAGGCGCCCGCGGCTAGTCGGCGAATCGATAATCCGTTCACACACACGTATGCCCGATCGCACACAAACACACTCGTGTTCGCTACAATATTATTAAAATAAGTCGATTATTTTCTCAATAAGTTAGTTATTTACAAGTTAGGAAGTATTTGATGGCGTATTTAAATAACAAGTCAATTCGCTCCAGTAAACGTTAAAATTTTAATAAATAATAAATAAACTTTGTTAGTGGACATTATTGAAAATCTAAAAA